AAACCCCATCTCTACTAAAAATACAAAAAATTAGCCGGGCGTGGTGGTGTGTGCCTGTAGTCCCAGCTACTTGAGAGGCTGAGGCAGGAGAATCGCTTGAACCCGGGAGGCGGAGGTTGTAGTGAGCTGAGACTGTGCCATTTTACTCCAGCCTGGGTGACACAGCGAGACTCCGTCAAAAAAAAAAAAAAAAAAAAAAAATTAAAGGGAAACGGACTTTCCCTGAATAAAAGGGAGAACGTAAAAGAGAAGTTGAAGGAGCAAGTGTGCAGCCTCAGGAAGTAGAGAGTTCCCCATCACTGGTGTTCCCTGTAACTTGCATTATAAAGGTATTCCCTATAACTTGTTCCCTGTAACTTGGATTCACTGGTCTCTGTTTTGCCTCCTGGACCACAAAGTTCAAGGCCAGTTTGTCTTTGACACCACAGTTTTTCAAATCCTCAGTGAGCAGTGAGTCCATACTCCATTACAGTGAAGGGGGATTGGAACGTGGACTGGGAGGCAGAATGTGTAAACTTTAAAGATCCTTTCCATCTTGATTCTGTGATTCATGAGTCTAAGTTTATTTAAAGACAGCAAGTATCCCCTAAAAAAATATGAAGAGATAGGTTCTTTGCAAAGTGATTCTTAAGCTGGTTTTCACTTCAAGCTCAGGACACCACCCAATCACCATTGATCAACTATTTTGGAGACAAAATTTGTTCCCTATAACTTGCATTCATTGGTCCCTATTTTGCCTCTTGAACCACAAAACTCAAGGCCAGTTTGTCTTTCACTCCACAGTTTTTCAAATCCTCAGTGAGCAGTGCGCGCATACCCCTACTCCCCTTCTTCCTGACAAGCACCAGGTCTTCTCTTTCCTTAAGTAGAACTGCTTGTTGGCAGTGCCTGTCAATGAAGTCCTTGCTCCCACTCCAGCTGCTGTTGTTTATAATAAGCTAGGCAGCATTTTATGGCACGTGTTTTAATAGGCATAGCCTCATTAATTTGAAATGGACCTACACTGGGCTGAGTTTATCTTTGTACTAACTAAAAGCAAAAAGAGTTTGCTAAGCATATTTATTGTCTTAAGATTAACAGAGCAATGTTTAAGCTTCTTATGAGAAGTAACTCTTTCAAATACCCTTAAGCTCTTTTAAAAAATTACTAGGTCACTTACAAATCCATCCTACCATTTCACTAAGACAAGTGATTAAAGGACCACCTCCAGGTAACTTTATTAGTAATTTCTTGTTTGCTCTTTTATGTAAAACTCCCTTCTTAAATGTATTTCACTCCCAGGAACACAAGGTAGGTGAGAGTGGGTGGGCTTATGAGGGGGGTGTGGTTTGGGGAAGGAAATGGCTTCCTTGGGTTTGGTGCTCAAATGCCTTATTACCATGCAATTTACCTAGATGTCTGCAGTGAGCTGAGAGCAGTTAAGGCAATACAGAGTTGGGAGCATCAGTGGCAAACTGGAGAAACCATCCCCTCCCAAGCCATTTATACTTCTGCAAAGGAGTTGGATTTTATTGGCAGATAGCCATTTGGTGATGCTCTTCTTAAACACTGAATTACAGTCTTGCACAGGAGATATGACTAGGTGAGCTTATCAGAAATTCAGGGGTATACTAACAAGATCTCAAAAATGTGCAGGGAGATTGGGCCACTTGACACGGCACTGTGGGCAAGGAAAATGAATCACAGATGCATTAACAGAACGTATGATGAGATCTTTGAAGGAATACATTTACATAAAGATGGGAGTAAGGTACCCAGAGCTTTGGGTATTTTGTCTAGATCATTCAGGTTGAAAATGGGTCATGAGAGATACAAATGGAAGGATAAAATGAGCTGCATATGTTTAAAGGCAGGGCTGTGCCTGGCAGAGGAGCTGATTAAGAGGCATAATGAGATGTGCTCATTTAGGGTAAGTAATGGAAGGAACTTCGAGAGATGCCTGTTCACAGGACTGAAGGCAAGTGGGACTGAAAGGGTATAATGAGAGATGTAATGAAAGAAGGGAAGGGGGAGCACTCTCCTGGGGCTCAGGTGTGATGACTCAGACACACAGAGGCAAGACAGGAGATGTCTGATTTGAAAGGGTGGACGACCAGAAGGGCATAATCCGACAAGGTGCGAGGGAGCACAGTGTTGGCGGGCCCAGGAGAGGAGAAGGATCCGCCGAGAGGAGCAAGAGGGGCCAGGCACTAGGAATGAACTCTAAGGTGATATCTTCTCCAAAAAGCCAGCCAGTGTCTTCAAGTATTTGAGCCACAGTTTTTGTAAAGGATATAGAGGAGACACAACTCCTTCCTTCTGTCTTTTCTTTGGACAGTAGCAGAGAAAACAAGCTATTGTGCAATAAGAGCCTGGAAGTAAAGATTTCTTAACCATGTGGGAGAGGGATGAGGGCCGTCGGAAAATGTGCTTGTCTTGTAACTTTGAGGTTTCATAGGATCTTGGAGACTGGGTGAGTAGGCTGGGCTGATTGTGGAAGTCAATGACTTGAAGTTAACATTCACAGCCTGGAACCAAGTCTCCCCATCTCGTCCTCCTTGCACCCTCACCCGGCATCCCCTGTGGCTACCCACTGAGGGCCTGGCTCGGGGGCTCTGTACCTGCTACCCCGGCCCTGCTTTCCTCAGCAGCTCTGCCTTCCCAAGTTGTCATCTGCTCTGAGAGCACCAAGGTCACCCCCTTGCTAACCTGGTAACTAGTCTCATATAATTAATGGTGGAAAAGGAATTCCAGTCCCATCTAGGTAACACAGGAATTTAAAATACTCAAGTTTCATGCAGAGGGGGCTCTGAATCACCATTTTAGTAAAAAGGGAAAATAAAGTTCTTTTTTCTAACTGAATTTTCGAGTTACAATTTAAGCCTGTTTCCTCCTGCAAGGTGCTCTGTGGATGGTTAACTTGTCAACATAATATTCAGTTATCTGGACAAGGTAAGTGCCTCACATCTTAGTTTCTATTTCTTTTAATACTAGCACCAACGGCTATTCCCCTGTTAACCTTATTCTTCTAAAGCATAACCTGGGAACTTGCAGAACATTTAAATATTTTCTACTTCATAGCTGCACAATCACAGATCCTGGGGGTGCAGCCATGTGGCCTGTCTAGACAAACTCTCCAGGTGATTCGGATGCAAGCTCAAGTCTGAGTCACTGTTTTAAAGTTTATAGCAAAGGGTTAAAAGCACCTGACCAATATTAAGCAAAGTGGATGAGCTCATTCTGACTCTTCCATCCCTTAAGCAATTCTATGTAAGGAAAGACAGGACCTGGTGCTTGAAGGGAAGTAGGGTATAGACTCACTGCTAAGGATTCAAAAAACTCTGCTATTAATAGGTCAGGACTCTGTCCTGGAAAAATAACATAAAAGCATGAATGTATGAGATGTAGGACAAAAGAAGCCACTTGATGTTTACTGAGTGTGTACGATTTGCCAGTCACTGCCTTTACACGTCTGGTTCTGCTTAGTTCTTAAAATATGAGGCTGTAACGACTTTGCCAGATGAGGAAACCGTGCTCGGAGATTAGGTAATTTTCCTAAGAACACAGATGGTAAGTAATGGATGGGCTTTGAGCCCCAATCAAAGCCAAATGTCTTTTTCTCAAAAGACGATGATTCCTATGGAAGAGTCATTAGTGACAAAATTCATAGATAGAAAAAGTATCCAACATTACTGTGGCATCTTTATTCTTTTAAAATCACACAGGTCATATTTAATACCGCCCAACTCTTTTGTTTTTTTGAGACAGGGTCTCACTCTTCACCCACGCTGGAGTGCAGTAGGGCAATCACAGCTCACTGCAGCCTTGACCTCCTGGGCTCAATCTATCTTCCCACCTCAAGTAGCTGGGACTACAGGTGTGTGCCACCATGCCCAGCTAATTTTATTTTTTTGCAGAGATGAGGTCTCACTGTGTTGCCCAGGCTGGTCTTGAACTCAGGCAATCCTCCTGACTTGGCCTCCCAAAAGTGTCAGGATTACAGGTGTGAGCCATCACACCTGGCCCGCCTTCACTGGTCGTTTCTGATCCAGGTATGCCATCTTGCACTTTAATCTCCTTGGTTTAGTCTGGAAACAGCACCTCACAGTTGCTTAAACATTGCAGTGAGACCGAAACCTGGTTTCAGACCATCATTTTACATTTCACTAGAGGCAAATAGGGCGAGTTTGCTGGGCCTGTTTCCTTTGCCCTTGGACTATTGTTCTTATCCCCACCCAAGGAGTCAGATCTGGAGCACAACCACGGGCCTTCCCACTCAGCTCATGGATGAAGATCTTCCATCAGTGCAGGCCCAACAGTACCTTCTCCCAGGAGCTCCCAAGCCATGTGCCAAGCCCTACAGAAATGACAAATAAACCCTCCGGACCACATAGGAATTATAATCCAAACAGACCTTTTTAGCTTTTTTGTTCACCGGCATATTCTGTGGCATCGTCTTATCCTAGTCCAAGAATTCTGGAATCCGTAGAACTGTTGAACCAAATAAAAGGAAGAAACTCTACCGTCAGCTCTCAATTAGCTGCACCGCTGGAGAGGAACAGTGACGTGGAGGATTAAAAAAATATTGGTTCTGTTTGACTTTGGAATGCATTGATTTTTTTTCAGTAGATTAACTTTTCTAATTCTATTTTGCACAGCCTAGTATTAACAGGCATTTGTATTCCCTGAGCACACAACATCTGACATTGAGAGCTGGGAGATGCTGTCCAAAAACGCGCTGGTCTCAAAGAACAATGTTATGAAAAATCCACACGTGGATAATGAAGAGGAAACTAATTATGAAGTGCTCTGCAAATATTAAATCATAAGCAGAGAAGGCAAAACAGTAATTCTCTATAGACATGTGGACAGAGTAAAAAAGTTTATTAACATTCTGAAAAGGACGGAAATTTTCAAGAATCATTAATGAAGCTTGATGAAAAAATTAGGATGCAAGGCAGGTCAATGAATTATTGCGTAGTCTTTTAAATAAGCAAACCTCAAGCAATAATACCAAAGCGTTTTAAAAGAGCGTTTAAAATGAATTTTATTGTTTGAATTTTACAAGTAGTCTTTAGAGGCTTCAAACAAGAACTCTGTTGCAAAACTCTAATAAATAGCTTGCCCCAAGTCCCCAAACAAAATGTAAAACAAAATGAGAACTAAACTCAGAAGGATAAGCAAGACTTCAGAATGCTTGGATGTTAGCAATATTTCTCATTTACAAAGAGATATCAGGCAATGTACAATCTCCTTCATACAAGTCAAAGAGAGAAAGAGACAGACAATTGAAATCTTTACAAAGCACTCCGAAATCTTCCTATTTCCATGATAGAAATGTCACCAGAAGAAAAAAAAACAAACCCATGGAGAAATCACAATCAATAATGAAACTAGCATAAAAATCCGGTAGTGGATGTAGCGGGGAGAAGAGAGGAAAATCCATCCTGTTTCTTTCAGGGATGGAGAGAGGAAGGAATTGAGATTACTTGAGGGAGGGAACTTCCAAGCAGATGCCGCTAGAGTGCTGAGTGTTCCCTTAGACCAGAGTTGCCACTGAAAGGGCAGAGGGGTCAGTTTAGTGACAGTTATGAAGGCAACAAACAAAGGGGTCTCCTCAGGTCAGTCAGCACTGGTCAGCCCCATGTCTTTGTGCTCTACAGCAGTGAGGGCCTTGGAACAGTGACCCAGGGGCCTGAAGCAGCCTGCATCACAAGACAGGAAAAATAGCACATCAATAATTTCTGCAGCAGAATCCTTTGGATGCCCACAAAAGGATGCAGAAAATGCCGTGCTGAAATTTCACACTGGGACATGCAGATTTCAAAAGCCCATTCTACTATCACAGTCATTGCTCCTAACAAGCAAGGATTAAAATTCACAAGTAAACATTCACTGTTAGCTTTTCCTAGTTACAAATACTGGTGAAGTCTTGCTCTAGAAAGAAAGATTAATTTAGTGATATGGTCATTTTGAGCAAGCTAGAAAACCAATTGCATCACATTTTTATCTTTAAAACGACATCATAGTTTTGACCAAAATTCATTCAAAATGCATACAGATAATAAGTTTTTAATTTGTGGGGAATTCTGAAATCAATTAATGTTTGGAGCCAGGAAGCTGCAGAGAGGTTGATTCCAATTTAGTGGGGCTCAATTAAGCCAAACATAAAGAGAGTTCTGCAGCAAAAGTGGGACCATCTCCCCGGGAGAAGCAGGAAGTGACCTCACAATGTGGGACTGGCAAGGGGTGTGGCCTGCAGGCACTGTCAGAGCTGCTCTGGTTTACTGACTTGCTGATACTAACCCCAATCCTGCTGATCTCTGGAGGACAGATACAAACAGCACTAGCTCATGCACGAGTCATTCAAGGGAGGTAGGCATTTTCTCAAAGCAACTCCCTCTCCAGGCATTTTAGGGAAGAAGGTAAGGAAATATTCCTCTCTACTCCCCAAACAAGTTAAAAAAACATTCTTTTTCTAGGAAAAATGACATTTGTTAGGATAACAAGGGAAAGCCTGGGTTACCTGAAATTGATAAGAAAGCAGATGGGAATAGAGGCAGATGGGCCAGGGAGCACCCTGGTCCAAGGCCCAGTTTCTTCTTAAATACATAACAGATAAAGATATTGTGCAAAAAAATAAAGACATTCACATTTTAGCAGTTAAACTTTTATTTTACTTTTTAAAATTTTTATTTACTTTTTTTTTTCTTTTCTACAAAAGGCAGGTGATGATTGTTGATCTGCAACTGTTGTGTTGTGCACTCCCTGAAAGGGGGCGGAGTAGGATGCTGGGGAAGGTGCTCTGAGGATGCTTTCTATGGTGGGATCAGGGCTGCAGGACACGGGCTGGAGGAGTGTCCGGGCCCTTCTCCTGTCCTCCTCAGCCTTCCCTAGCTCATGTCTATGGTGTTGAAGACCCATTCCGTGAACTTCTTCAGCTTGTCCGAGGCGTTCTGGGACTCCTCCTGCAGCCTCAAGTTGTCCTCTCGCAGGTGCTGCACTTCCGCCTGAAGGTGTGCTTTGTCTTCTTTTTCCTGGGAGGGAGAGTGAAGTGGAAAGGAACTAGGAGGTGGGGCCCCACCTTGTCCAGCTCCTCTGAGAAGTAGCTATGGACCTGTTTTGATCTTTTGCCCATTTCTATTCTTTGTTCCTCCAAACACCTGTCTAAACGGCCTGGTACCAGGTACTAAGACACTCTAAACTCAGGGAATGGGGCTTCTAGAGAGATTCAACCCTGCAGGATTAGCTGTAAGTAATCCTGGAATGTAAGTAGGTACATTAATGTATATTCCAATGTCCTTGTTAGTCAGGACTGTCTTAAATTTTAGACAACTGTTTTGGTGGCTGATGTCTTGATATAGTCAAGGCCACCCAAGAAACAAAACATTCAGTTCTCTTGGTGCAAAAGCCCCAGTAACACCGACTACATGGGAGTCTGGGCTACTGACACATTATACAAGGAGTAGGGTGGCAAGGAGAGGACCCAGATGGGCTGGCTGAGGTTCAAAGCCTTTCACAAAATAGTGAACAGCTTTTCTGTACACCTGACGCCGAATGCTGTGTGTTCCAGTGGCAACTGAGATCCCCGCAGCCCTGAACACGTGCAGGCAGAGGGAAGACACCTATATCTTACTTCACTACACTACTTAAAAAGGACTCTCATGGTTCAGGGGCAGATTGCACAGACTGGGCAATTTGCTTTGAGAATACGTGTTTACCTTCTTCAAATCTTCCCGAAGCATCTTCAGCATACCTTCCAGCTGGTCCACTTTAGAAGCCAGAGTGGGAGAGGAGTCTTTACTGCTAGGAACAACAAACAAAGACCATGTTGGCAGGGGCCTCCATGGCTGTTTTTTTTTAATTTGAGGAGGCTGTATTTATACAATGGTTTTCAATGTCAAATTACTCAGAATGGCGACCCAATGTGTATTTTTACTTTAAAAAAGAAAATGGTAATCTTTTTTTTTTTTTTTTTTTTTTTTTTTGAGACGGAGTTTC